TGGGAAGAATTCCCACTACTGAAAAAAAAAAAGAAAGAAAGGAAAGAGAAAAGGAATTGAGGAAGAAAAGCATAGTGAGGTATAAGGACCCAGGAGGTTGCAAGTTTGGGAAAGCTTATGCAGGACCCTCCTCTATTTCTGCACCCACTCAGTACCCCTCACCTCCTGCACCCACCCTGCACACCCACTCCCACAGCTCCCCTACCAGCCGAAGGGTCCACCTCAGCGAGGACAGTGAAGTCGATGACACGGGAAGTGAAGTCGAAGGCCGTCTGCTGGCTGTTGTGGAACACAGAGATGCAGTGGCGGTCCCCATAGCTGGCTCGAGGCATGCCACCCTGGAAGATGGTGAAGGGCAACCTGCAGGCACAGGAACAGGGTGGGTGGGGCCTCCACACAACCTGGACAGCCACAGGCGGGGATGGCAGCTGGACTTCCTGGAGCATGCAGGGCAGTGGCCAGCCTTTGCAGCATGGCCTGGGGCCCTAGCACTGAAAAGGAAGCCAGTCTCAGAGTGACTGGACCCCCACCCCTTCCTGACTGTAGCAGCCCAGGAGAACTTGGGGGGAGGGAGGCTTCCACACTGGGGTCCTGAGTCTCTAACGCCACTTCTGCTTTGACATCAGGCCTCCCTGCATGATTCTGTTTGAAGAAATGGGACTGCGGCTAAAAGACTGTGAAACCCAGGCCAGGGATTTAGCTCAGTGCCACTGCGCCTGCCTCATAAGCACAAGGTCCTGAGGTTGATCCCTGGTACCAAAAAAAAAAGACAGAGACAGAGAGAGAGAAAGAGAGAAAGAGAGAGAGAGAGAGAGAGAGAGAGAGAGAGAGAGAGAGAGACTGTGAAACCCACTGATGGGTGGGGGAGGAAGGAGTGAGAGGAGATTTTGCAGAATTGAGCTGCTGAGAGTTATGAATGGCAAGTCTGCCCTTTTCCCCCTTCCTGGGTCCTAGACCCCATGAAAGCATCTACTAAGCACTGCCTCCCCAGATAGGGATCTGCGAGGTCTCTCTAACCCTCCACGGAAGCTCTGGAAAGCAGGGGGAACAGAGCACCAGTACCTACCCCTTTTTGGTGGTGAGCCAAAAGATTTTGGTAATAGCTTTGCAAGGAAATGGACCTAAAAAAAAAGAGTTAGCTTGAAAGAGTCTCCCCCACTCCTAGATACATGACAGTCCCCATGGGTGCAGCTCCTTCACAACCAGAAAACCTGCTGTAGAGTTTCGGCCCAAGCCTTGGCCCTCTCTGGGCCTAGGTTTGGCTTCTATGAGCTGGGCACCCTATGCCCCCATCCAGGCAAGACCGAAGGCTCTCTGATGGTGGGAGGGTGGGCTGGGCCCACTGGGTAGGTCCAGTACTGACCATAAGGCATGGAGCTGCGCAGGGGCTCTGGTTGCTGGGTGTCGCTGGACACAGGCCACTGGCAATGGCTGCCATCGGAGTGGCAGGTGACAATCAGGCGGCCATCCCGCTGCCAGCTGACATTCTCCAGTTGCTTCAGAGCAGGAAGAGAGGGGGAAAGGGCATCAGCTTGGGCAGCGTTCCCAGCACTTGCCTCTCTGCATTGCGGCAACAGGCTCTATGTACTCTAAGAGGGGCCTGGTGGAGCCGCCGTCAGGCACCTACCTGGCTGCTGAGGAAATGGCAGAGCACACGGCTGCGCTGCAGGTCCCAGATGATGACCAGGCCCCGGCTATAGCCTATCAGGATCTGGCTGGAGTCTCGAGGGTGCTCCTGCAGCGCCTCCACCATCTCGAACACTCGCCGCTGGCGGGCCTCCTCAGGCAGCCTGGGGACAGGAAAGGTGTTAGCCACCGCCCTCCTATGGGGCGTGGCCATGGTAGGGCACAGCTGCACGTGGCATTCATGTGCCAGAGTGGAAAGGTGCTTGGGACATAGCGCCACCAGAGAGAGGCAACATGTAGAACAGGACAGTGATACATTAAAAAAAACCCAGGAAGTGGGCCGGGGATTTAGCTCAGTGGTTCCACCACCTGCCTCGAAAGTGCAAGGACCTGAATTTGATCCCTGGTACCAAAAAAAAAACACCCTGGAAGAGTTGGGCATGGTGGCACATGCCTGTAATCCCAGGACTTGGGAGGCTGAGGCAGGAGGACTGCTGTGAGTTCAAGGCCAGCCTAGGTTACACAGTAAGTTCAAGGCCAGAGTGAACTACATAGCAAGATCCCATCTCAAAAACCAAACCAAACCAACCAACCAAACAAACAAACACAACCCTAGAGCGATCATTCTTACACCTGTGTCTCTGTATGTTTGCCCCCCTTAGGACGATACCGTCTCAGAGAGCAAGTCAGAGAACCATCAGGACATTAGGAACCTAAGTGAGCACTGCCAGAGTGAAAGCTCAGCAAGTACTAGATCGCAGGGGGGTCCTCGGCCATCCAGCCCCCTCCCTGACTCAGCTCCATCACAGGCAAGGTTCGGCTGGGCCCTGGTGTGGCCACGTGCTGAGGGACAGGTCCTCCTGCCATTCCGCCCTAGACCATGCCCATGATGAGCACCAGTCACATCTACCGTTCATCCTGCAAGGTGCTCCGCTCTGACCTTGGGCTCGCTGTCCCTGCCCTAGCCTGCTGAGCAGCAACAGCACAGGGGTTTGTACTTGGGGAACCCAGCCCCACACAGGAATCCTCCCAAGCCACCAAGGCCCTGGCCTGGACAGACGAGCCCTCCCTCATGGTGATGTGGACAGCCTGGCCTGCTGGGACCCAGACCCTGGCCTTCTCCCTGCCCCCCAGAACTGCAGGACATTCCACCACTGCCACCCTAAGCCTGTCACCCTCTCTCCATCCAGACCCAATCTGACTCCTTAGTCAGATGCAAAGCCTTGGAAATGACCTCAGCAGACTTCCAGGCTAGTGACCATCCAGGCTTTTTAGCAATACAGGCCACACGCAAATGAAAGCACAGCAAAAAAAAGAGGAAAAGCTCAGCAGCGCCCCAGACACAGGCATTAGCAGGAGTGGGCTTACCCTTGCAGCACCGCATCTGAGCTGATGGTCTGGTCCTCCAGCACTCGGAAGCTGGGCAGCTGCACCACAAACACATTGCCGCTCTCAGTCCCCAGGTAGAGGAGCTCTTGGCAAGAGTGAGGCAGGACCACGGTGATCTGCGTGGCACTGGGGGCAGCCCTGCCAATGAGGACAGCTGCTCATGAGCTGGGTGCTACCCAGGCAGGAGGGACCTCAGGGACAGGATCCCTCCCTCCTGGCTGTCCCGGCCAGCCCAGGGAAGGCCTGGCCTAGGAAATGCAGGCCTTCGATGCAGTACAGACCATCTCAGGACAGGACAAATACCTGAAATCCTTCCACACAATAGGGCGTGGGCACCGAGGGAGGCTTCAGCCCTGCCCACTGTGCCCAGAGTATTTGAGGACGAGACACAGTGGCTCAGACACACACTGAGCACTGCCAAAGACGCAAGGGCCTTCCAAGGATGAGCCCACCCCAGAGTTGAGTGTGAGACAGGAACAGGAGCTCATCTTACCCTGGGGGCCCACGCAGGGTGAAGCTCTCATCCTCCTGCAGCTCTGACACTCCGTCCCTGACCTTCAAGCTCCACAAATGCAGACTGTTGTCATCCAGCAGGGTGGCCAGCTTGCACTAGGGAGGAGATGGGACGGGGGCGGGGAGGTGCTGGGCTGTTAACAAGGCAGGCCTTTACACACGGGGGTGGCTCAGCCTGGGCACTTACTTCAAAGAGCCCCAGGACTCAAAGTCCCCAGCTATTCTGGTGGGCTGAGGGCCTCCAGCGGGCCCCAGGACCACACCTCCCCCCTCACCCTTTGTGGAAGATGTGAAGAGACCCCTGTCCCTCCTGCCTCCCTCCCCAAGCCTGGCCCTTACCTGGCCAGGCAGGAAGTGGATCTGTACCACAGCATTGTTCTCCCGATGGAGTCCCATGAACTCCACCCCAGGGGCACCGTAGCTAGGAGGAGGCTCAGGAAAACCTCTGAATGCTAAACACCAGCCCTCACCACTCTGACCGGCACCCAGGTGGCCAGGAGTGCAAGCGCAGAGAAGGGCTCTGCACCCTTGGGACCTGGGGTGCAGAGGAGACAGCAGGGGCCCTGGCCGGGTGTACTCAGCCAGTGACCTGACCCCGGGAGAGCTGTCCCAGCCAAGCAAGTGGGGGGCAGCTCCCCAGAGTGAAGCCCTATCTTGGTGACTGTTAGGCTGCCCCCTCGGTTCCCTTTGTCTCCCCCTCCCCCAATCTGAGCAGAGGGGCCACCTGTGAGGAGACACAGGCCACTGCGGGGGCGCCCCCAGCATGACCTGTGAGGCTTGGCAGGAGGGATTGGCACCGGGACACGGTTGAGACCTGGCAATGATTAACCGGCTGGGGGGAGGCTGAGCCAGCAACAGGACCTGGGCCTCTGCCCTGCTGGCAATACATGAGCCCAGCCACCTGGGCTTCCCGACTGCTCCCCCACATCTGGTGACAGGGAGCAGGGCAGAATCAGGGTTTTGCTCCAGGAGGTGTTGCTGAGCGACCCAAGGCAGCCCCTGGCTCCCAACTCTCACGGCCTCACTGGAGCTCACCTGGGGGCCAGACAGAGTGGGCTCCAAGTCTCATGGCCTGGCCAAAAGATCAAACTAAGCTGGGTGTGGTAGTGCACACTTGTGACCCCTGTACTCCGGGAGGCTGAGGCAGGAGGATTGCAAGTTCAAGCCCAGCCTAAGCAATTTAATGACTTAGTGAGTCTTTTTCTCAAAACTTTAAAAAGGGCTGGGAATATAGCTCAGCGTAAAGGTCCTGGGTTAAATACTTAGAACAGCAAAACAAACGAAATAAAACACAAGTATGTGGGCCCCACCCCCGGTCAGGGCAGAAGGAAAAGATGTCAAGGCCAGGCCTCTCTCCTCCCTGAGCAGTGCCTGGCCATAAGGGATCCCCCACTCTGCCTGGTATAGCTGAATCCTGAAACCTCCAGCTCTAGGTGAGAAAGAGGCCCATACCCCTCGGCCTGCAGCCCACCCTCTCCTCCCCTGAAAGGACGGATGAACAGCTGGCCACCCCAAGTCTTCCAGCCCCTTCGACGATATCACCCCACCCCAAGGAAACCACTTTCACCACGGGAAGTCAGGTAAGTCCTGCTCTCATCCCAACAGCCCAGGGACCAGGGGGGAAAAAATGGAAAGGATACAGCTTGACGGCTCCAGAGCGAGTGCCGATGGCCAGGATCCGCAGGGAGGGGCTGTAGCCCAGGGCGCTGGGCTGGTGCGGGAATCCATGCTCCACAGTCTGCAATGACAGCCACATGGGTCAGGCCTACAGACACATCTCCGGGGGCCTTGTGTTCCCTCTGCTTCCCCGGCTGAGCCCAGTGCCAGATGGAGGAGCCAGCCAGAAGGAAGGAGGGGTCTGGAACCTTTCAGGTCCCTCCCAGACACCTGAGTGTTAGAGCCAAACTCAGACCCACCTGTTCTCCCCGCTGCAGCCCATTTCTGAGCCTGTCCTTGGCCACTCGGCTATCCCCACAAGCTACCCCTCCAGGAACTCTGACTTGGTGCCCCTGCCACAAACACCCTTCGCAGAGGGGCAGCCCTCTCCCTCTACCGGGGGAGGTGCCGGGCCACTGTAGGAGACACGAGTCCCTCAGGAAAAAAGCCTGGTGGCACCACAGCCCCAGGCTGTCCCCATGGCCTGAGGGCACCTTGGTGTCCCTGCTCAGTTCGGGACTGTCCAAGGTCCCCACCCCCAGTCTCCTCTGTCCCCAGGGCCCTTGTCACTGAGTACTCAGTCATCTTCCCAGAGAGGAAATTTCTGGAGCATTGCTGCAGGCTCGTGCTTGGTTCAGTTCTTATTACAGAAGCAACACACACACACCGTACAAGTTTGGAATGTATAGAAAAGCCCAACCGGAAGTAGCCCTCACTAACTTCTTGGAGTGTATATCCTTTGAGTCTTTTCTGTGCTTGTGAATGTTATGTATTTGTATGTATATATATATTTTAATTTGCAGTACTGGGAATAAACTCCAGAGCCTTGTACACACTCAGCAAATGCTCTACCACTCAGCTACACCCCCAGCAACTACCCTCCTCCCTTTTTTAACATAGGGATTTTTAAATTGCTAAATTGCCTAGGCTGGGGCTCAAACTGGGGTTCCTGCCTCAGCCTCCCAAGTACCTGGGATTATAGGAGTGTGCCACCACACTTGACTCATTTATTATTTATTTATTTTTCTGGTACCAGGACCTTGGGCTTTCGAACTAGACGCAGCGCCACTGAGCTAAATCCCTGGCCCTCTCATTTATTTTTTAATTAGTGATATTTTACTGTTTTCCCTTGGGCTTTTTTTTTCCTGTGCTGGGGATCAAACAGGGCCTTGTGCCGATTACACAAACACTCCACTGCTGAGCCACACCCTCAGCCTGTTTGTACATTTGAGAACGGATCACTCCACGCAGAGACGCGTGTGTGTTCCTGTGCACGTATAAGTTTATAACCTGTTTTCTACTCAAAGCTACCTGGTTGCTAAAAGTTCTCAAACAACTTTTAAACAGCTGGAGGTGGCACTGCCTCTGCTATTGAACATTTAGTCTGCTTCTGTTGCTTTTGTAATGGCTAATTACACTGACAACCTTCCTTGGACTCCTGTCCTTGCCTGCAAGTCTGGGTATTTTCTGAGGCACATGTCCCAGGGAAGGAACTTCAACCTGCAATGGTAAAAAGGTATGGATGTAAACCCTACCGATTCAGATGGGCAAACCATCTTTGGGAAGGCTTTGCTTCTTTTTTATTTTTTCTTCTGGTGGCACTAAGATTGAATCTAGAGTTTTTGTTTTGTTTTGTTTTTGGTATGGGGATTGAACTCGGGTGGGACCTTACACTTGCAAGGCTGTGAATCTAGAGTTTTTGCGCTGAGCTACATATCCAGCCATTTGAAAAAAAATTTTTTTTTTTAAATTTTGAGATGGGGCTGGGCATGGTGGCACATGCCTGTCATCCCAGAAAGCTGAGGCAGGAGGATTGCCACAAGTTCGATTTCAGCCCCTGAACTATGTAGCAAGACCTTGTCTCAAATAAATTAACTTTTGTGGGGGGGGGGTACCAGGGATCAAACTTGGGACCTTGGACTTGCGAGGCAGGCACTGGAACAACTGAGCTAAATCCTCGGCCCAAAAAATTAATCTTTTTTGAGATAGGGTCTCGTTAAGCTCCTGAACTGCCAGATCTAGGCTGTAATTTAAATCCTCCTGCCTCAGCCTCCCAGACTGCAAAAGTTACAGGCAAGCACCACTACCCCTGGCTGAGTTTCTGCTTCTTAATCAGCTACCCCACACCCACCCCAGGGGTCACTGACATTGCCAAACTAGGTCAGATCAGAGCACAGCAACAGGACAAACATCTGCTTTACAGACTTTTCTTTTCTTTTTTCAGACATGGAAACTGCCTTGCAGCAAGAAGCTACAGCAATGAGGTGGCCTCTCCAGGCCCGGAGCTCTCCCCCCACCCCCCCACCGGCTGTATTTAGCCATCCTGTTAGGCCTCCAAGAGGCGATAAGTCCCTGGCCACACCAGCTGAGATAGCTTAGCAAACTCCACAGCTGCCAGCCTCCCCACCAGCCCAGTCCAGGCCAGGCCAAGCCAGTCCAGTGGTTCAGAGGAGGAGGCCCATGCTGGGTTGTGCTCAGGAGGAAAATTCCAACTGCCTATTTGGGGGACTCTTGGGCTGAATGGAAAGGGGGAGGTGGGGACAGGAATACAGTCTGCCCTGAAACTGGCGGACTACCTGGATGGGACAGCCGGAAGAGACCCCTGGGGGCAGGAGCCCCCAAGGATGCCCAGGTCCCTGTCCAGCTATGTAAAAAACGAAGAGCCCCAACAAGCTCTGGGTAGATAGCTGAGTGTCTGGAATGTAAACATTTCCCAGGAAAAGAAGGGCAGGGGATGGATCAGCTACGTGAGACAAGCTCCCTGGGGCCCTGCTAGGCCTCCACTAGCCCCAGGTTACTGGCTCTGCAGGAAGTCAGCTGCCGAGCCTGGGAGAAGGTTCCCTAGACAAGTAGCATTTTCCCATCATCACCTGCAGCAGCAGTTCAGGGTAAAAGCCTGGAATTTGGAATCTAGAGGACTCTTAGGAACATATCCTCAGAGGCTTGGTGGCCAGTAGCAGGCCCCACACCTTGTGCTGCCAGAACAGCAGCCACAAGACAAAGTATGCAGTGGAGCTATTCCCACAGATGAACTGTTTTCCACATTTTCCCTCACTTCAATGAATTTTCATTTCAGAAGGGATGTTCTGTTCAGCTACTGGACAACTTCCAAGTATGTCTGGAACAACCTGAGTTCCAAAAGAAGAGGGGCTGGACTCAGGCAGACTAACTTCAAATGCCCCCTTTTTGACTATAAATCTTCTGAACTCTAAATACAGAGTCACATATTTCCAAAGAAAATTTATGTCAGGGGGCCGGGGATTTAGCTCAGTGGTTCCGCCACTTGCCTCGAAAGCGCAAGGTCCCAAGTTTGATCCCCAGTATCAAAAAAAGAAAGAAAAAGAAAATTTATGTCAGAATTGAGATGTTCTAGAAATATAAAATATAGACATATTTCAAGACTTAGTATTCTTTCTTTCTTTTTTTTTTTTTGGTACTGGGGATCGAACTCTGGACCTTGCACTTGTGAGGCAGGTGCCGGAACCACTGAGCTAAATCCCCGTCCCTATGACTTAGTATTTTTAACTTCTTTTTTTTTTTTTGGTACCGGGGACTGAACTCAGGCCCTTGTGCTTGCAAGACAGGTGGCAGAACCACTGAGCTAAATCCCCAGCCCCAGACTTAGTATTTTTAAAAAGACAAATAGTAAAGAAATATCTTAGTAATTTGTGTGGCAAAACAATAATATTTTGAACTGGGTGTAGAGAGAAAACCTATAACCCCAGCTACCTGGGAGGCTGAAGCAGAAGGACTGCAAGTTCGAGGTCAGCCTGGGCAACTTAGTGATATTCTGTATAAATAAAATTTGAAAAAGGACTGCGGATATATTTTAGTGGAAGAGTGCTTGCCCAGTATGAGCCTGAGTCCCTGGGTTCAGTCCCTAGTAACACAGACACACACAAGTATATTCTGGACTAAAGACAGCTTATTATTAAAGTTAATTTCAGGGGCCAGGGATTTAGCTCAGTGGTTCCGACACCTGCCTCACAAGCGCAAGGTCCCGAGTTTGAGCCCTGGTACCAATAATAATAATAATAATAATAATAATAATAATAATTTAAAAATAAAATAAAATTAATTTCAATTGTTTACGAGATTTTATAATGCAGCTTCTAGAAAATTTAAAACTACATATGTGGCTTAGCCCAGGTATGGTGGTGCACACTTATAATCCCAGGACTTGGGAGGCCAGAATAGGATCACTTCAAGTTCAGGGCCAGCTTGGGCAACATACTGAGTTCAGGACCAGCCTGAACTACATAGCCAGACCCTGTCTCAGAAAACAAAAAAGGCTGGGTGTGGTGGCCCACACCTGTAATCTCAGCACTCAGGATGCTGAGGCCAGAGGATCGCCTGGAGTTCAAGGGCACTCTGGGCTACACAGTGAGTTTGAGGCCAGCCTGAGCTACCTGGGAGAGATTCTGTCTCAAATAAATAAATACATACATGGGGCTCATATTATATTCCTGTTGAAACAATGCCTCAGGGCATCATCAGGCAAGTGAAGCCAAATAAGAAGGGCTCTGGAGCTTTTTTGTTGGGCTCTTAGGCCACACGTTATCCCCTCCACTCAGGGCTGGTCTAACATCTCAGCTAAGTCCCTCCTGCTGCAGTTCAGCTTCTTTAAACCAGAAGACAAAAGGTTGGGCTCATCCTTCAGTCATCTGTACTCTCTTCTTCATGCCCTTCAGGGTCTTGGGGACACCGTGGCCACCCTTCCCTCCCATCCCCACCTTCCCGTCAGGGTTCAGAACAGGCACTGAGCTGGGTGTTGTGGTGCACGCCTGTAGTCCCAGCACTTGGGAGGCTGAAGCAGGAGGACTGCCCCAAATTCGAGGCCAGCTTGGGCTACACAGTGAGTTCAAGGCTGCCCTGAACGATATAGCAAGACTCTGTCTCAAACAAACAAAAAGAACAGGCACTGAGTCAGACTCACTGGGATTCTAATCCCCTCCTACCTTGAAATGTGTCTGCACTTAGCAAGTACTCCAAGCTACTTTGCTCTCTGAGCCTCGTCTCCCACCTCACGGCTGCCCTAGAGCTGAACACCAAGAACCACCTGACAGCTTGGGAGCCTGAGCCAAGGTTCCTGTCTTTCTCCACATCCTTCGGGACATCTTCTCCAGCTCCTGAGGGGCCATGGCCCTATCGGGTACGGGTACGAAATAAGGGCAGTGAACTCCACAGTAACCCGGCCCGAGAGAGTCAATTCAAATGCAAAGAGTGTGGCTCCCTGGGGATTCCCCAGGCTGGACAAGCAAATAAGACCCACAGATACCCCAAGGAGGTGACTAGGTGAGCGGCAGAGCCAGGCATGAGTTCCACCCAGCTGGGCAGGGAGGTCTAAGAGCCCCAGGGAGTTTTGCTGGCACTGGGGACGGAGGGATTTGAATTTGGAAAGAAGTGGCCCATGGATCAGAGAGAAGGGAGGAGCTAGAAACCAACCCTGGGACGGGGTGGATATACCCAAGAGAAACCAGGTACGATGTCCCTGAACCTTGTTCAAACCTCGAACCTCAGTGCCCCGCTCACATTCTTGCTGTTCCTCCCCCAGCTCTTAATTCTATTAGATCGCAGAACCATGGGGTGATGACTTTGTCTAGAGCTTAGGAACAGTTCCAGATTCTTTGCAGGGGGAGTACAGATGGCCACCCTCAAAGGAACCATCCACAGAGCGTAGGAGGGTGGGCTCAGCCCCAGGGCTTCCTAGCTGTGCAACTTCCAGGGCACTGGCAACCCTGAGGGAAGCATGAGGGTCAGGCTCAGTCTAGGGCAGCTGGCACAGCCCCTCAGGGGCATGGCATTCCCAGATGGCCCCTGGGACAGAGACCCTAGTTCACTCCAGCTCAGGATCAAAGGAGGAGCCTGTGAGAACCGGGCATCCAGCCTCTCTGGGCCCTGCCCCCATCCTGCTACCTGGCTCAGGTGACCTCTGCCAAGGGAAGAGAGAACAATGAACTCTTTTGACAGGGAGCAAGGAAAGGAGAGCACCGATCTGTAGGGTCGCCAAACTGCAACATCAGCCTGTGTGGGAGAGAAAGGCCATCTGTCTCACCCCTGCTCCAGGACCCAGGTTCAGATCCCCAGAAGGGAAAGGAGTGAACGAGGGCTGTTTTGTCAGAGACAGTAGGGACCCTTCATCCTGCCCTCCACCTGGGAGGGCCCTGTCCAGAAAAAAAGGACCTGATGAACCCCCAGTGCTCGTCAGGGGGTAGAAAGGAAGACTGACAGGGACCGGGGTCCAGGAGGCAGCCCAGGGCCACAGGGGGCACACCCACCAGGCTGGCTGAGAGGCTCTGCCCGATACTGGGTGTGGCCACCTCAGATTCCTGGTGGTGGCAGCAACCTGGCCCTCCCTGTGTGGCTGTCACCTGACACCAGGGACCCAGCCATGCAAAAGCCAACACAAACCACCTGGCCCTGGGCAGGGGCAGCTGGCCAGGAACAGACTGTTTGTCCATCCAGGGCCTGGGGGTGGGGTTGGAGAGGCTAGGCAAGGGCAGAAAGGGCTGGGCAGGTCCCCTGCAGCCTCTGGGGACAGACACCAGGGCCTCCTCATGGGTGTGGCTCATTAGATGCACCAGGGAAGGAGCACGCCCTGCTGGCTGACTTACCTATCTTCCCAACCGGCTCAGGACCCACACTGCATGTGATAGATGACAGCTTCACAGGTGAAGAAACTGAGGCTCAGAGAGGTGAAATCACCACCCTAAGGCCACACAGCCAGTCAGCAGAGAGGACAGGATTGTCCTTATTCCCGACCACTGCCCTCCGGCATATGCTCAGGCTGCATAAGCCCTGGAGGTCTCAGTTTCCTCACCTGTAGAGCGGGGACAACACCCATTTGCCTGTCACCCTGAAGATGAGGTGGTGATGTGCTGGCCACTATTCCTATTCGAAGCAATTAAACTCACTCAGTGTGGTAGCCAGGATATAGGGATTGCCATGACTCCCATCTTACAGATAAGGAAATGGAGGCACAGAGAAGCTACGTGATGTTTCCACGGCCGCACAGTACAAACGTAGCAGAGCCCACATCTAGATCCAGGTTGTCTGGTGCTAAGTCCCTGCCCCTAATCATTGTCCCACCCAGTCTCCTGATGCCTGGGCTCCTGCTGAGCTAGAGTTGACCCTGTGGGAGCCAGCCCCTGGCCGAGAGTCTCAAGACTGGTCATCATCATAACTTCTACCCATGAACATGCAGCTCCCCAGGCCCCTGGGGCAGTGTTCCTGCTCTCTTTGGGGCCGCTTGCTGGCCATGGGCACAAAAGTTTGGCTAGAGGATGCTAGAGGGAGAGGCTCAGAACTAATTTAGAAGCTGGTGTCTGTAAGCCACTGAGGTCGAGCCTGTGGTGGCAGCACTGCTCTGCTGTCCCACCCCCAAGGACAAGGCCTTGTAGATTGGCCATTAGGACAGCAGTCTTGGGCCAGGTGACCAGAGTCCCCAGGCATAGACACTCTCCAGGGCCTGACACCCACCTGAATCTGACCTACATTAGCAGCTCATTTGGTGCTCAGGGGCCAGCTCAGTCCACACACTGTCTGCTGGACCCTCCCTCGAGGGTCCCCAGGCTCCCTGGAGTCAGCCTCAAGCCAGCAGAAATACCTGTCGAGCTGGGCCATTCAAAACTGTAGTCATGAGCCAGGCATGGTGGCTCATGCCTATCATTCCAGCACTCGGGAGGCTGAGGCAGGAAAACTGCTGCAAGTTTGAAGACAGCCTGGGCTACATAATGAGTTCAAGATCAGCCTGAGCTACAGAGCAAGACCCTCTCTCAAAACAACAACCACAAAAAAAGAAAAAAAGAAAGAAAAGAAAAAGAAACTGTAGCCATGAGCCTGTTCAGCCCTGCGTTTATGTACAGACCCACCTGGTCCTCACATCAGTCCCATGGACTAGCTTCTAACATCACCTCCATTTGAGACTAGGGACCTGCCTGAGCTCACACAGCAAGGAGACCAGCAGCCAGGTGTCAGGGTTGGGCGCTAACCACTGGGAAAACTGCCCTTCCATGAACAGAGACCGTGGTTGTTCCCATCCTGTCCAAACTGAATTAATTAACACATCACTGAAACTTGCTCCTGGGCTCCCCTTCTGTGTTTGGCACCGCCACCCACCCAGGGCAGAGACCCCATGGTCATCCTGGACGCCCACCTCCCTCCTTTGTCCCCTGTCCCATCCCCTGCCTCCTCACTCCCACACTGTATCTAGCACCGGCTCTCATCAATCTTATGCCCTAACTGGCCTATTCCAGCAGTTCTCAAGTAGGAGCAATTTTACCCTTCAGGAGATACCTGGCAATGTCTGGAGACATTCTGAGATATCACAAATTGGACATCTAGGAGGTAGGAAGTGGGGATGCTGCTAGGTACCCTGCAATGCCTGGACAGACCCCGTGGCACAACCGCCCCCAGAAGTCTCCAGGGCCAGGGTCCAGAAGCCCCGCCCCTCACTCCCTGTTGGGCTCTGGACACTTCAAAGTCTCCTAAGTTTACCGTTTCACCCAGAGAGGAAAAAAGTCCCCAGAGTCAGCTTTTCTAAACTGTCAGGGCAACTGCTCACCCCCTACTCAAAATCCACCAAGTCAGGCTCAGACTCCCAGGTTTCAGTTTCCCTTCTGCCCTCCAGGTCCAGGGGCCACCAAAAGTCGGACCAACCAGGGTACCAGATCCTCTAGGGACTGGCCTTGGCCTTCAACCCCACCCTGCTGGCTCCAATGCACTCCCAGAGCCTGATGAGACTGTGTGGGCTTCCCGTTCCCCTCTCCCTACCTGCTTCTCTCTACTCCTAAGACAAGCCATCAGCCCTACCCTCCCTAAATCCTGAAGGCCAAAGCCTCCTGCTCTGAGATTCCCACAGGCCTTGGCCTTGGGCTGTGTGTGTAGCAGGTGCTAGAAGAAGCTTCTTGCATGCAGATGGAAAGAGGAAGGCAGAGAAGGCAGGAAGAATTCAAAAAGCCTCCCCCTCCCCGCCCAGGTCTGTGGGTGGGGTTGGCAAGTTTGGGGACTACCAATGGGGGGATGATTTCTTCACTCCAGCTCCACCCCAGCCTCACCCACAGCACCTAGGGAACTTGGGGCGAGGGTTCGGTCCCTTTGCTGAGCCTGTCTGTCCGGTTTCTGCTGGAATTGGCTACCTTTGCTAACAGTGAGAGATACATGCTTCACCTAGAGGGTTGGAGGCACTTGGGGACACCCAGGTACCCGTGGTATTTTCCTTCAAGAGCAAAGTTGGCAGGCTCCAGGTGTCTTGAGATTCCCCCCATTTCTCCATCTGCACCCCCATTTCCCATGGCCCTAAAGCAACCCGAGAGAAGAGCATTCATGTAGGAAACCTAGATTTCAGAGGCAGATGGCTTACAGAAAAGCCCCATTGGGCCGGGGATTTAGCTCAGTGGTTCCACTGCCTGCCTCACAAGCCCAAGGACCCGAGTTCGATCCTTGGTACCAAAAAAAGAAAGAAAGAAAAGCTCCATGGCGACACCCTCTCCTACAGGGCAAGACCACCAAAGGAAGACGGCAGGATATGCTGGGCCCCTTGATCCCATTCTCCCAACACAGCAAGACCTGGGAAGCACCTCTCCACCCCGCCCCCATCCCCCAAATCCCCAGCAGCTAACGTCCCTGGGCCACTGGGCCTAGCACTCAAGTTAGGTGATTGCACACATAGCCCTTAGAAGTCTATGGCATGAGTGATGGACACACGGCCACCTAGTCGTACACTGTGAGGCTGGATTTGAACTTGGGCAGACCGACTTCTGCTTTTCTCAAAAAGAAAAAAATTGAAGAAGAGAATTCCTCATTTTCTACAAAGAGAGGTGCTTTTATGTTTAGTTGATTTTTGGGTGGATTTTTGTTTGTTTTGTTTTGTTTTTGGTTGAGACAGGGTTTCGTTTTGCAGTGCAGCTGGCCTTAAAGTCACTGTGTATCCCAGGCTGGCCTCAAATTCATAGCGCTCCTCCAGCCTCAGACTCTGGGATTCAGGAATATACCACCATGTCCGGCAAGAGAGGTGCTTTTTTCCCCACTGTCCAGTCTAACATTCACTGGTTCCTCTGGAGAAGAGGGTAGCCTAAAACAAATTCCCCAGGGCCAGGGATTTAGCTCAGTGGTTCTGACACCTGCCTCGAAAGCCAAGGACCGGAGTTCAATCCCCTGTACCAAAACCCCCCCCCAAAAAACAAAGTCCCCAACAAAACTGAGATTTCCCAGCTGGGGGTGTAGCTTAGCATTCATGAGGGCCTAGGTTCAATCCCCAGCACCATTTAAAAATAAAAAAGCCGGGTGTAGCACACACCTCTAATGCCACCTTGTCTCAAAAAACAAACAAAAAGTCAGAGTCTTACCTGTGAATTTACTCTGGAAGATTAGGCCCCTAAGGGGAGAATATCATGATGTCCCCCTTCCTGAAGTCCACTTGGAGCAGAGATCAAAGGAGAGAGGAGAAGGCTAATTATCCCCAAGCAGTCCAGATTGCTAGGTGGCAGTGGCAAGAGCTAATGAGCCACAAGGTGCTCCTGTTTACAGGCCTGCGCTGGCCTTGTCAGGCTCAGGTTCCAGCTCCAGCTCCAGCTCCAGCTCCAGCTCCAGCTCCAGCTCCAGCTCCCTCCAGCAGACCCTGCAGAGCTTCTACTAGGGCCTTAGGAGTGGGACTGGGATAGTCAAATGCCAACTCTGACTGCTCCGGGGTGCCTCTCCCCTCTCCCCTGGGCCCACAGTTCCAGGAGGAACGAGACATCCAGCCTGCTGAGAAAGGTGTGTTTTCTTCTGAGGGTATTGTGAGGAGAGAGGGAACAGCCATGTCTAAAGCTCTTTTTTTTTTTCCAGTACTTGGGATAGAACTCCAGATCTCTCGATTTCGAGGGAGGCACAGTGCCACTAAGTTACATCTCGGCCCTAAAGCCTCCTGAACCCCTAGGGCTCTGCCATCACTGGAACATTATTATACCTTGATGCAGGACTCAATACTCTTTCATCTTTTCTGTCCCTAAACCTCCAGGGCAGCCCTGTGGCAAGACAGGCAGGACAGATTGTTTTATACCCATTTTATAGGAAGAAAGACTGAGGCTGCACGGCGTGACTTGCAGAGGTCAAACAACGAGCCAGCAAGAGACCTGGGACAAGGAGTCCCGACTCCTGAGTATCCCACTGCCCTGTCCCAGGAATGCCCTCTGACCACACCCCATTTCCAAAGTCAGATTCCTTGAGGCCTGTTAGGCAGTACCAAGCAAGCACCTTAATCCAGGTGAAGGAAAGCTGACTCTTCAGCCCTAGGCCATGATGACCGACCCTCCCGCCCCCAGCCTGGGGTCTGGCTCACATTCTGTCCTTACCTTGTTAAATTGGAACAGGTCCCGCTTGAGCCTCTCCCGTGCAGGGTCATGCCCTGGTCTCAGGAACCGCCTCATGTTTGCAGCTGCCCACTGGAGACCTGCAGAAAGGGGACCCCTTGAGACCTGCCCCAGAGCTGTGCTGGTCCCACAGTCCTGGCCTGCAGCAGCCTGTGGGCTCTCTCCCCAAGCCCAGAGCCACCCAGGGCTTCCTGTGCACCATATGCAGTATAGTCCCCCAGAAGTCGGACAGCCCTCAGAACCTGGAGTCCCAGGCCTGTCCCTGATCAGGCCTGCTGCTGGCTGGTTAATGCTCTAATGCCACCCTTAGCCTCATATGGGAGCAGAAGCTAGGGAAGGAAGCTACTTAGCCTGGCTTTATAGGAACAAGGAGGGCCAGCAGGCCCTGCAGTTAATTAGCTTAATTGTTAACCTGTTTTCTAAAAAAGCCATAAAAGTCTGGCTAACCAGAAAGAGAAACTTCACAAGCCTCCCTCCAGAGCCAGCAGAAAGGTGGAATGGAAAAGCTGTCCCAGGGACTCCCCATTAGAGCCCAAATGGGGCTAGGGAGAGGCCAGAGTCCATCTGGGTTCAGCAGCCTCTTCTAACTTCAGGAAGACTCTCACTGAAGTCTACGCAACCAGCCCCAGCCACGGGAACACACGTCAGGGAGGCACGGAGCACTCAGCTGGGGGCGCTGCCCCATCCACTGGGGCTTGGAAGGAGAGCCCATCCCATAGGGCCGCTGGGGTCTCTGCAGCAGGACCAGCCCCAGCTTCCCTCCTGATCCCCACCCCAACTTGTGCCCCCCCCTCCCGTTCCAGCACCCCTGGGATCTAATGGGGAGTGCCAGAACAGCCCCCTTTCTACGGGCCCAAGTGTAGTATAAGCCAATGAAATCTGCACCCAATAAAGAAAGCAGCTCAAGGGCCCCAAACCATCCACCCACATAAAATGCACTCCCAGCCCAAAGGGAAACTATTTCTGGATTATCCTTGGGGGAGGGGGGAGGATTATCTGCACTTTGCTTCCGGCTTCCAGTAGCCAGGCCTCCCACTGACCACAGGACACCAAGGCCTGTCCTTGGGAAACACAGGGGGCAAGGCACACCCCCAAAATGGCTCCATTCAGTCCATACAGCTACAAAGGGAAGGCAAGCAGATCCAGTCCTCACCAGGGACCAGGGAGAAGCTTACTCTTGGTAGGACAGGTAGAGACAGGCCAGCTCAGTGTACCAAGTGCTGGACTGGGGTACGGAAAGGGGACATCTGGCCTGAAATGAGGAAGGGGGGCGGGGTGTCCTAACAAAGCTGGGGCCTAAAGGATGTCCTGAAGATTTCAGCTTCTTGGGAGGTGGGAAAAATTAATTACAGGGCTGGAAGAATAGCTTCGTGGTAGAGCACTTGTCTGACATGCACAAAGCCCTGGGTTTGACCCCCAGGATTGAAAAAAAAAAAAAAAAATTACCAGGCCAGGAGTTTGCATACGAAAGGATCCTGAGGATCTAAGACTGAGGCTTCCTTGAAGTTGGGGGGCAAGTGCCCACTGCATGCAATGTGTGTGACAAAGTTGCAGAGTCTTCTGGCCAAGTAATTAGGGCCTGCCATGCCAGGAGTGCCATCTCACTCTGCATTCACGCCACACGAGAGGCTGAGACCCACATCCCTGCAAATGAAAGGACCAGCAGGCGTGGTCACTTCCAAACCAAATACCAGCAACCAACCCTCCAGCACTGTCACCCCTTGGGGACAACCAAAAAATGTGAGGAGAGCCAGACCAGAGCAGCACCTCCCACCCCAGGGGGAGTGGCAGGTAGCTGGGAAAGTCCCAGTGCTAGATCAGAGGCCCCAAGGGTCAGAGAGTAAGCATGAAAGCCCTGGGGGCTCCTGGGGCTGGAAGTGAAAATAGAGTCTCGGAGACCAGGGATCTGGGCCTCTGGAGAAACAGCTGAGCCTGATAGAATGCTGTGGGGGAGGGAAGCCCAGTAAATCAATGTAAATCAGCACTCACTGGGCTCTGAGGTGTGGGTTCTTTCCTCCCCGGGTTGAGGTCACTGGGTCAGAAGCCAGAGGAACCTGAGAGAGATTCCCCTGGGGAGGAGAGGGGCCTACAGACTCGGGGGAAGGGACATGAGGACACAGGACCATCTGTGACAAGGACCCCACAGGTGCAGAGGTGGAAGACGGGAGAAAGGAGGGAAACAGATGAGGAGACACCCAACTCAGCCAGGAGGGCAAGAACACTCAGTGCCAGCCCCACACCCAAGCACCTCTCCGAGCACCTTCTGCACACCAGGCATCGGACCAGATACTCTGTGTGTTCTTGTAATTATATTTTAAGTTTTTATGCTCATTGGAGAAAATGCAAACACAGAGGAGAAAATCCTCCTTGAACCTCACTGCCAGTCAGCCAGGGAGACGAGCTGGTACACATTCTGACCACCTTTGCACTCTGTGTGTGAATTTGTGAATGTGACACCAAACAGCATGTCGGAAGCCACCAGAAAGGTAAGTGGAACCTCCTCAGATAGGTGAGGAAACCAGGACCACAGACGCTAAGTGACTTGTCCCAGATAACCAGGTAGGAAGTGGCAGGATGATGATCTGACTAACTCAGACCTCAGGCTTTGGGAGGCAGTGAAGCATGGCTATTACAGGAGGGAGGATGCCTAATTACACCCCTGCCATTAAAGGCAGGGACACGTGCAGACATAATCCCTAGGCCGCCAGCTCAGAGCCAACCAAGCAGTTTGGGGCCAGGAGCTGACCACTGCTTCCAGGGTGCAGGTGAGGGCTGGCTGGGTAGGACTAGAGGCCTGGCAGGATCTGCTGCACATTACACAGGGGCCTGGACTGCTGGCTCCAGGACCAAGCAGGGTGGGCCCCCAATGCAGAAAGAATGCCCCCAGGCAAGGCAGGAAAATCCAGCCACCACCCCTTGTTGGTAGGAGAGGGCAGGTTTGGGGCAGGCTAGCAGCCCCTGGGCTCCACCCACCCCAGAGGTGCAAGGTGTCAGCAAAGAGGTCACACAGAGCAGATCCTGCCTGCTTGCCCCACTCCGGGAGCCAGGGGACCAGCAGCACAGCACTCTAGCCCAGGCCTGGTGGGCTCTGGAGCCAGCTGTCTGTGAAGAAGCCGAAGAAGCAAGACCAAACGCTGACTGCCTGGCACAGAGCAGGCCCTGTCCTGGAAGGGGGAGGTGAGGTAACCGAACACAAACCAGCCAATGGGACAATTTCCTACAAAATAGGGCTTTTGAGGAACTAAAGGCCGATGCTGAGCTCTGGTAGCCAGGCCTAGGCCTGTGCTGCCCATGGCCTGGAAAGCCCTCTCCTGCGTCCGATCCCTGACCCCAGCTCTGCCGGGAGGTCCCTTCCCCACCTTGGTCTGGCACTGCACCTGCCATCGTTCTCGCCTCCTTGCTCTTCTCCTCAGACCTTGCCCCACGTGAGCACACTGAAGAGTTTACTTATTAATCCTGATGCCTGCCTGGGGAACCTTCCACAGGAAGCCACTTTCTGGGGTTTTTGTTGTTGTTGTTTCATTTTTCAGCAGCAGTGTGGATCAAACCCAGGGGGGTCTCTGCACTGAGCTACATCCCCAAGTCTTTATTTTTTACTTTAGGACAGGGTCTCGCCAAGTCACTACGCTGCCCAGCTGGACTCAAACTTGTGATCCTCCTGCCTCAGCCTCCCAGAATGGTGGGATTACAGGCATGCATCACCATACCCAGCTGCTCTCTTGTTCTTATTTAGTGACTTTTGTCCTTTTTTCCGGTGCCACATCCCAAGTTCACATAATAGTGAGTGATCACCGCTCCCTGCTGCATGAGTGAAAGGAGGAGGTAATGTTCTCCATCGATGACCTGAATGAAGGACAGGAAGCCTTGGCCATGATGAGATTCGGGGACAGAGTGGTTCAGGCAGGCAGAACAACGGGTGTAAGATCTCAAGCTAGACCAAGCTTGCACATTCCCGGGCCATGAAGACAAGTCAGGGCCAAGCGCATGGAGAGCCCTGAGCAGAGGACCCGGGACAAACAACAACGGTTAGAGCCAGGGCCTCTCGAGCCTGACCAGGCTGGGAACCACTGCTAGTCCTGGGCAGAGGCCCATGCAGCCCCTTCCCCGACACCAGTCCCCTCTCCTTGGCCCTGTGCAGGCTGCTCCATCTACCCCCCCCACCCATCCCGGGCCTGCTTCACTAGTCTCTGAGCCTCTCTGTCTGAGATCCCTCTTGCCCTCGCCCCAGGAGCACATCAAGGTACCTTCCAAGAGCCTTCCTGGTCTGACCCCACCTGCCCATCGTCAACCTTGCTCCCACAGTGCTTGCCTGAACCTTGCACTAAAATGGCCCCTTAAAATTGCCATGGATAGGGACACCCGCCGAGCTCCAGAACTTTTATCCTCTCTGTATTATTTATTGTTTTGTTTTTTGGTGTTTTCTTGAAACAGGGTTTCGCTATGTAGTTCAGGCTGGCTTCAAACTTGTGGTGATCCTCCTGCCTCAGCCTCCCAGGTGCTAGGATTACAGTAAGCTACTGGGATAAAATGAGAAGCAACCTGAATGGCCAATGACAGGGAGGCAGGTGAAGTGCACTCAGCCCCTCAGACAACTGAGTGAGAAGGAAGCATATGTACAAGGTTTCCAAAGCCCGGTAAGCTTTCTTAAAAATATCTGGAGTACAGTGCTACATGCCTATAATCCCAGCACTCTGGGAGGCTGAGGCAGGAAGATTCAAGGCCAACCTGTGCAACTTACCAAGACCCTGTCTTAAAACAAAATATAAAAAAGGGGCTGGGGACATGGCTCAGTGTAAAGGCCCTGGGTTCAGCTTCCAGTACTGAAGGAAAAAAAAAAAAAAGTACATACTCAGACAACACCCTAAGGGTGATCTTTTTCTTCTTTTGTTTTATCTGCCTCCTATGCAGGGTAGATAAGAGGATCAAATGGAGAAGGGATGAAGCCCTAGTGGTGGGCTTAGCTCCATCCCATTGGTGGAATCGCTCTTGAGCAATGAGGGTACAGGGCTCCTCTCCAGCCATCGTAACCTGCATGGGGAGGGGCAGCTACCCCAGACACCACACAGGTGCAGCAGCAGGGAAAGCCAGGTAGTCGGGTGGGTGAAACCAGCTACTGAGAGGGACACGGGAAAGGAAGCAAGTTCACAAGTTCCACAGGCTGAAGAGCCCAGGTCCCCAAGTCCAAAACCAGGGAGGGTCTGGGGGAGTCACTGCCACCTGGCTAGAGGGCCACCCTGAGACCGAGCTTCCAGGAAGGAACACCTTCTCCACCCCCAACTCCTAAAGACTGCCCAGTCTTAGTCCCCACGCCTGCCTGTTGTTCCCTGTCAGTGACCAGCCCAACCTCTGAGCACCTCCCTGCTGTTCCTGCAGGGACAGACCTCCAGGGCTCAGGGCTGCCCCATGTGAGGCTTGCTGACCTGTCTGTGGCTGATCCTGTCTCCTTTCCACACAAGTCTGTGCCGGGTGCACGGAACTAGCCTGAGCGTTTCCTGTGGGCAGCTGACCCAGCAATTTCCTTCTTTTCTCCCTGTCCCCATCATCCCTCATTGCCACTGACCAGCAGAAAATTCCTGGTTCTGGGACAGGTCTTCTCACATCCTGACACCCACCTGGAAAATACAGGAGAGCTTCCTGCACAGGGGTAGGCTAGAAATTCCACACCCTGCCCTCCCTGCCCATCCTTTGCCCCACCTCTGGGACACACACTGCCCTCCGCACCCTTCTATCTCAGGAGCTCAGCACAGACCCCAGTGGAGACATAGAGGTGGCTTGTTTGGGGCCCCCCATGCTGGGTGGCAGATCAGACTGTGCCCCTCAGAGGAAGGAGGCGATCACCAGGCCACACTGCTCATCCCCTGCTGGCACTGTTGGAGTGCCTAGGCATGGCCGAGCTGAGCCCATCTGTCCTGGGCATGTAAGATGGGTAAGCCCCCAAGAAGGCCCCTCAGTAGCCTGGCCAGTTCCACTGATCTGCTGGGAGGGTCCACACCCAGGGCAGGACTCAAGACTCCTGTGTTGGCCCACAAGCAAGGAGGCCACTGGAGCCTCAGCCAGCATCCGTCCCTGAGTCTCCTGCTCTCCAAGAGCATACCACGTGGGGTTCTCCTCTCCTCTCCCCTTTGCTCAGGCTCCCCACACCCTGCCACCGATCACGAAACTGTCCTCCCTTCCCTGACATCCTGTGTGAGGCTGGTTGTGGCTTCAGCCTCCTGCTTGGCGGATGTGAGACGCCCCGGCACCTCCCACTGATGGGAGTGGCAGGGCAGGGCTCTGAGCCACTGGGGCAGCCGCTGACCCCTCTGGCTTCTGCCTGTGACAACTCAACATGCCCAAGGCTGCTTCACCAGGGTCCATGTTACCTGGGGAACTCAATTACCAGGGCCTTGGCCAGCAGCTCAACAAATGAACTTTGGCTGAAGGGCACCGCTGTGGGACAGGTGTGTGTTTGGGAGGCACCAGAGAATTATCAGTACTAATGGTGGTTAAGTAATCAAAGTACTGAGGGCTATGACCAGATGCTACTTTCACTCTTTACATGCATCATCTCATATAATTATTACAACTAATCCGGGGTAGTATCAAGCCCCAAACAGTAAGAGTCTGAGTTTCTGTTTCAACTGCGATCTGACTGACTCCAGAGTCCCCTGGCTCATTGCAAGCCACTCTCGCAGCACACAGGGCTGGTGAACAGTAGGCCAGATGGGGCCAGCCTCCACCCAACCACCATCCATCCCACAACCCTGTGAGTCTTCCCACCCAGGCCAGCTTCCTTCTGAAGTGTTTCCTCTGCCGCCCCTCCCAGGACTGTGAAGAGGGTAAGAGGCCAGGATGCAAACATCCTTCTGCACCCCCTACTCTGTAGGGGCCTCAGTCCTCTCTGGGCATCCAGCACCAGATTCTCCAAGGAAGTGAATGGTAGGACATGGCCAAGTGAAAAGAGAAGCAAAACCATTCTGGGGAGAAGATGGACAACTTGTCAGGTTGGGTCACAGACTGCCTGATCCACATCCAATCAAGCCCCATCCCAGGGCCTCCCACCTGTCCTGACACCTGAACAGCTGGCTCCATGAGCTGCCAGAAGACACCACCTACAGAAGGAAATGACCATACTGGTCTTGTCCACATTGTGTCCCCAGTGACACATGGAAGCACTCAGATTTTATTTTGAGAACTCCTCTGCCTTCTTCAAGCTTTGCTCAAATGTCCCCAGAACAGGTGAGGCCCATTCTGACCACCTTTTAAAGCTCTAGCCCAAGAATGGTGGTGCACACCTGTAATTCCAGCCCTTTGGGAGGCTGAGGCAGGAGGACTGCTAAGAATTTGAGGCAGCCTGGGCTACTACACAGTGAGTTCAAGGCCAGCCTAAACTACATCCTGAGACCCTGTCTCAAAAATAAATAAATAAATAAATAAAGTTGTAGCCCTAGTAGTACAGGGGATCCCAACTCCTGCTCTAGTTCTTTTTCCTGTGCAACTCATATTATCTGCTAATGCACTGTTTATTACTAAAGCTTATTTCCAGTGACTTATGCTCCCTATCTTTTAAAAAGAAAGTTTCACAATGACAGAAACCTTGCTTGGTTTAAAGATTATGTCCAGTATCTAGAATGATGCTACACATAAGCACCAATAAATACCCATTAAATTAATGAATGAAAAGTTGGACAACATAGAGATTAACTAGGTAAAGAATGCTGAGGTAGGCCACAGGGTCCTCAGAGAACCTTCCTATCCTGTTCTCAAGACTGAAACTGTGGGCAGGGCCATATGGACCTTGTATATGGCATCCTGCTTGGGATGTTGTGTGGGCCCTGTCCCAGACCAGGAGTCCAAGACACTCAGCTCTTGAGAAAGGAGAATCCCGGAATAATATTGTTAAATATTATTCACTAGAGTCAAATACATGTGTCCAGATGTCCCTTTTGTCAAACCCTGGCAACACTGAGTCAGGTGCCTGGAGAGAAGGCTCTGGTCTCTACTGAATTCCTGAAGGGTAGAGTCAGGTATCTTGCAGTTTTCCCGTCCCCACGCCCAGAGCAGCCTCTCCTAACTCAAGAATTCATCGTGGTTCCTGGGAACGGGAAGGAGCAGAACACTGTGACTCTTCAAAGGACCAGTTTCTTCTGAGGCAGGGCAGAAAGGGAAGGCTACCACAGAGGAACCTGGGCATGGCCACAGCACACAGCAAGGAAGGTTCTCTCTGGGATCCCTAAGGAGCCAGGGTTGGGAGCGACAGGCAGTGCCAGTAGCCCTACTGGAAAACACCCATGTCCTGCCCTGTGCCCTGTTTCTCCCTGCAAACTGTGCCCAGGCAGAAGAAAATAAAGCTGCCAAGCAGACCGGGCATGCTCCAACTAGGAGGAGCCAAGATAGTGATATCTCCAAGTGAGATAAGAGGGTCTCTCGGAATGGAGTGCTGTGGATAAGTGAGTCCAGGCCACCAGTGTTGCTCCAAGCTGCCAACCAGGACAGACATTAGCCTCACTGGCCTCTATCCTGGCCCCCAACTCAGGTGTCTCAACAGCTGCTCCTGGTTGGTCTGGGAAGTCCAGGAAACTAAGCCTTGCCACATTGTCCCTAGAGGCTTCTGTCAGTGATGCTCAGGGTCTCCCTTGGGATAGCAGGGGTCACAGACTGATGGCAAAGGCTCCAAACTTTCTAGCTCCATGTACCACTTTCCCAGAAATCCAGTCCCAGAAGAGGATATCCCACCCCCAAGGGAGGCTGAAAGGGAGCACTATGGAATTCCCAGACAATCGCCTTAAAGACAAGAAGAATGTGCTCCCCTGCCCCACCCCCCAACAGGGTGTCCAGAATGGACAGTGTAAGCCCTCTCAGCCAGGACAAGAGTATAGCAGATAAGATTCTGCACTTAGGGCAGACTCTCAGCTTAGTCTGTGACCAGCCCTCATTCCTGGCTCTCCCAAGGAGCAAGGGAAGTATCAGGGGCCAAAGCAACAGGATGTCAGGTAAGGATGGGCCACCTCCCCCTACTACTGAGGAGTATCCTCACTGACCTCTATAGACTTTCTGTTCATTTGGTTTTGAGACAGGGTCTCACTATGTAGTTGAAGCTGGCCTTGAACTCACTATGTAGCCCAGGTTGGCCTTGAACTCGTGGTGATCCTCTCATCTCAGCCCTGGAGTGCTGGGATCATGGGCATGCACCACCACACCTGGGCAAGAGACTTTAAAGGATTACTAAATCATGAAACTTCAGCTGATTTCTGGAGTGGGAAGCAAATCCTCTCAACCCATCAACTGTTTCCAAAAGGTCCAGGAGCCCACCCAAAGACCTGTAAGTGCCTGATGCTTTTTATGCTTTCAGGGAAGCTAACAAGATCCCCATTTTTGAGTATGAACTAGGCAACACATGTTCATCTTTTCACCTTCTTGGTAACTTCTGTAAGAACAAGGCTTGGCATGGTTAGTTGATTCAGCTATGGTCATACAGCCAGAACTCAGCAAGTTATGATTTAAAATCACCTGATAGCTAGGAGGACATTACAAAAACAATTTTTTTTTTTGACACAGAGTCTTTCAATGTAGCCCAGGAATGTTAGGCAGCTCAAACTTGCAATCCTCCTGCCTCAGCCTCCTGAGTGCTGAGATTAAAGGCTTGTACCACCATGCTTGGCTTAAAAATCTTCACAAATACTATGTTTGGGGAAAACTCTGTCAGGCAAGGATAATCTTTTCTGCCTTACATTTTCTAAAATCTTTTATTTTTCCCTCCATGGGCTCCTACTCCCTTTTTCTGTTTTGTTTTGTTTTAATGAACTTGGGTCACCTGGGGCTACAGGGTTTTTCTTTTTTTAATGCTACTGTCTATTAAAAAGTTGCCAAGTATTATTTTAATATAATTGAAATTATACCACTCTGCAACCAAAGGAGACACTCCATTGCCTCAAAGAAAAGTAGGGAAACAGAATGACCCCAGATGCTGGAGATGCTATCTAGGGCCCTTCTCAGGGAGAAAAAGAGCTGAGTTTGAGTCCGGACTGCCACAAAAGGGTTCCGTGGGCAGATGACTTAAGAAAACTAACCCTAAATTCCCTGTTCAGAAAATAAGGTAAAACCATCTTCCCCCTGACCCATCCCTTCCCATGCTCTCCCGTGCCCAGATCTTCCTCAAAAGCCACTTCTGACCTTGGCTTCCCCTGGGCGGCCCCGCCTCTAGTGCTGCAGCCCTGGTCTTCCACCTGCGTTTCCTTGTAGGCTGACACACCCTTTCCTTCCCTGCCTCCCATCGGCTCAGAATCCCTCCTGCGGAGTCCCTAGCGCACAGGTTAGGGCAGCTAGCACCAACAGACAGTAAGGATTCCCTGGGGAAGGGGCACTGAGTCTAAGCTCCGCCCTCCTCACCTAAAGATCACCTGCTTCGGGTGAGCGCCTCCAAAGGCTACGACCAAGGCTCAATGGATCCACCAGCCGTCCAGCAGGAGCAAACCTAGTTACTTACTTTGGCAAGAATTTCCACTACCCGCCAATCCCCACCGCGCAACCCCACCTATCAGCGTGGAAGAGAGACTGGATGTCAGCACAGTCGCCTTAAAGGTGTCCAACAGCGTCCGGGAGAACGCGCCGACAGAGAGGTGCCTCCCGCTGGCCTCCTGCGTCCGGGGATTAGAAGGCATAAAGGGCCCGCAGGGAGAGCTCCAGATGGCCCGGACCGGGGATAAGCCGCCAAGGTAACGCCGCCCGCGGAGGCTGGGTCACAGGAGCCCGCGTCGCCCGCTCCCCGCCCGGGCGCCTTGCACGTGAGCCCCGGGACTCCGCCTCCCGAAAGCACCCTGGCTGGACACCTGTTCCCCTGCTCCCGAAAGCCAACACTATTGTGCAAACCCAAACCCAAAGTTTGGTAATCGGGAGTGGACCAGGCAGAGAGAAGTTCCCAGCAACACTTTCCACAGGTGTCTGTCTCCCAGACGAGCCAAAGGACGGCACGAGGGCGAGGCGGAGGAGTTGGGTGCGGCCCTCCCGGCAGGGAAGCCCGGGGGTCTCAGTCCTCTCCCGCCTCTCCGCTCGAGCGGCGCCGGGCGACCCAACGGGACGGGGCGGGGCGGGGCGGACCGGGCCGGGCCGGGCCGGGCCGAGCTAAGTCGGTCGCGCCCCGCGCTCACCTGGGATCCGGGCCGGCCCCCGCCCAGGGCCTCCGCGTCCCTCTGCGCCCTCCGCCGGCTCCGATCGTTCCGCCGCGCCGGCCTACCGGCTGCTGGGCGGCCGCCTCCTTCCTGCTCACCTCCGGCGCGGCGAGCGGGGGGCGGAGCTGCCGCTATTTACATAGAGGGCGAGCTAGCCGGGTCCGCGGAACCCCGAGAGCCCGCCCCCGGGCCCGCCACGCCCCCCGCAGCCCCGCGCCGACGGGGCGGGGGCGCAGCGAGGGCGCCCAACGGAGCGGGGACCGTTCTCGGGCCAATCAGCGGCTCCCGGGGCTCAGGGGCCGCCCCCCGCCCCCGGCCTCACCTGAGAACACCTGACCGCAGGACGGCACACCGCGCCCAGTGTCCCGCCGCCTCCTGTTGAAGGAAATAGTTCCCGGAACGCGCGGCTGTCCCGGCCGCCTCCCAGACCCGGCTCTGGGCGAGAGCCGTCCCTCCCACGACTCGCCCGAGCTGCCGAGGGAGGGGCAAAGCGGGTCCGGCTCCTCTGAGAACGATCAGCCAGGAAAGGGTGGCCGAGGCCCCAGCGCCAGGTTTCAGGACCCACAAGTAGGGTCATAGGGGCCGAGGGAGGAGGCGGGCGGCGCCCGAAGTCCCAAGGGACAGCGAAGAGGAGGGGTTGAAGTGACGAGAGGCCAGAGGGGAAGGGGCGCGGAGGCAGAGATGGGAACCACTCACTCCACCCCACAGCTGCTGCAGACTGGCGTGGGCCACACGGACGTGGGTTTCACCCACCCTCCTAGCTCGACCTGGCCGCGCTCAGGGAAGACCAATGTTGCGTAGGCTTACTTTCCAGGTACTCATCAAGAGCCCAGCGACTTCAACTTCCCATCCCCCTGGGACAGTGCACGCAAGTGCAAAGGTTCTCGACCTAGTCCTGCCCCCACCCGGGTTTCCCGGATTTTAGGTCCCCGTCGGGAAAGACGGCTCCCCCAGAGTGAGCAGGTGAGAGGTCCAGTACATCCAGCCACGGTAGAAAAGAAATCGATTTTTAATGGCTTTGGCTTTATGGCATGAAGCAGGCACCCTCTCATTAGAGGCACAGAGTCCTCTTCCGCCCCACCTCCTGGGCCTCTGAAAACCAGTCCTGAGTTCCAAGGGAGTCACTGCAAGGCAGCACTCTCTCGCTTGGGGCTAGGTAGCCCTGCGGGCGAGGCAAGGGGGCGGGGCACGGGGCAAGGTGTCACACTTCCTCAGACACCTAGGGCCGAGGCCCAAACTGGGATGGTCCCTGAGAACAGACAGCCCAGGTTCCCCACAGAAGGCTCCAGCCCGGCCCCCCACCACCACTGTCAGTGCTCCAGATCCTTGGGCAGTGTGAAGTCCCTGAAACTGTAGAAGGAGATGTCCCCGTGATCCACCAGGGCAAAGATCAAAGGGACATCCCCACTCTGAAAGGTCAACCGCTTGAGGCTGCAGAGGTCTGGGACAGGCTCATCAAATCTGTAGGTATAAGGGTTGGGCTGAGACCTGGTTGTAGCCCCCCACCAGTAATCCCCAAGATCCCACCCCTTGAACTCCTGAGGAAGGGAGATTATAAAACGGGCTAGGGGTGCAAGAATTCTGGCCCCTGGGTTCTCCTATCTACAAACTAGTGACTCTGATAACTTCTCCAAGAAATCCCGAGTGCCCTGGTTGGGTAGGGAGCTGGGAATAGCAAGGTTCTCACCAGTCTTAGCCTTTAAATCCCTCCAATCCACATCCCTTCTGCTGGGTGAGCCGAGGACTAATATGGCATAGGAGAGACTACTCAAAAATGCAAGTAATGAGGAGCCCAGAGCTGGGAAGCTTGGGATTCTATGGCACTAACTGACTCTGTGGACTTGTGTAGGTCAATGAACCTCTCTGGACCTTGGGTTCTTAGGGATTGGCAAAGTGGTCTGGGGGTGGGAAGTAGGGTGGAGAGAATGCCCACATGGTTCACAGGAGAGCCAGCAACAACCCAGGGGGAGTGCTTGCTCATCTCGTACCCACTGATGCACATCCGGGCATAGGGTTTGCCAGGGCTATTCTTTCGGAATGTGGCCACAGCATCAGCCTGGTAAACATCAAAGCTGATGTCCAAGCCTCCGGGCTTCTCCAGCAGCCTGAGAAAAGAGTGAGAAACTTCAGAACGAGGACTCTCCTCTCCTTCCCATCACTAGTTCTACTAAGCAGCCACATCCAGGGGAACCGAGGCTGAGAGGTGCCAGTTGAGGGGAAGGGGCTCCAAACACTTAGGACAAACCCACCAGCCTGCCATTCCTCCCTCTCCCCTAGACACACGTGAACATTAGTAGTAAGCTAGGGTGGGGTCCCCTTGCTTACACCCAACTCTAGCAGCCAAATCCCGACTGTCATACTACCTGGCTGCCAAGTGTCACGGAGATGCGCACTGCTTGGAAACTTACCGGGCACCTCCATCAGCAAGGTGTGTTGTCTGCAGCACAGAGATATGCTGAAGGACTGTGGCTATAGGACAATGAAAAAGAGCTGTGGTGAGGAGTCAGCCTGCTCTACACTCGCTTGACATTGCTCAATCTGCTATCAAGGTTAGGGTTGCCAGATTTACCAAAATTGTTTTTTAAAGTTCTTTATTTGTGTGTGGTACTGGGGATTGAATCCAGGAGCACTGTACCTTAAACTACATCCCTGGCCCTATTAATTTGTATTTAATTATTTATTCTGCCTTGCTGGTGACTGAGCCCAGGCATGTGCTACCACTGACCTACATTCCTATACTCCCAGCCCATTTTTCCTTTTTATTTTTATTTATTTTTTATTTTTTGGTACCGGGGATTGAACTTGGGTCCTTCTGCTTGCACAGCAGGCGCAGCAGGCGGCAAAACCACTGAGGTAAATCCCCAGCCCTTTCCTTTTTATTTTGAGCCAGGATCTTGCTAAGTCACTAAATTGCTCAGGCTAGGTTCAAACTTTACAGTCCTCCAACCTCAGTCACCTAGAGCAGTGGTAGCAAACCTGTGGCATGTGTGCCGAAGCAGGCTATTTGTATCACTGAATGCTCTAAAAGGTTTGCCATCACTGTCCTAGAGTGTTGGAATTACAGATGTGCACCACCATACCCAGGTTATTTTTTTTTTGAGACAGAATTTCACTCAATTGCCCAAGATAGGCTTGAACTTGCCTTCTTCCTACTTCTGCCTCCAGAGCAGCTGGGATTACAGGCATGTGCCAACACAACTGGCCCAAATTTTTTTTAGTGTAAGTATGTCCAATGCAGTATTTGGAACATACTTATGTTTAAAAAATTAGCTGTTTATCTAAAATTCAAATCTAACTGATTTGGTGACACTAATCTAGTCATCTACGATCTATATACCATACTCCCATGATTTTAAGTAGTTCTGAATCTATCACATTTAGCAGAGTCCATTCCAGCCCTAGTAATTTCCTGTGCTTAAAACCAGGAGCAGGGCCCAGGATTTAATTCAGTGGTTCCGGCGCCTACCTCGCAAGTTTGAGGTCCCAAGTTTGATCCCCGGTCCCCCCCCAAAAAAAAAAACAGGAGCAAACAGTGAGCCTCTTAATTGAGCCAGGCTGGCACCCCTACATTCCAGCTAACTGGTTTGGGAGGGAAGAGGATCACAGATGGCAAAGGCATCCAAGTTATCCTGGTTGGTTATGGCTTGTTTTCCCCACCAGTGCTGGAGACTGAACCCATGGCCTTTGCACTGAACTATATCCCCAGTGACCACCCCACTTTCTGAGACAGGCTCTGAGTTGTTAAATTGCCCAGATTACCTTTGATCTTGCAATCCATCCTCCCGCCTCAGCCTTCTAGAGTGCTGGGATTACAGGCATGCGCCACCATACCTGGCTTTGGTTACGGTTTTAAGGACACAGTCAGTTTTCTCCCCTCCTTGCCTCTCCCTGGTCACTGACTCACCATCGATAAGCGTTGCCCTGTTGGCTCTGCTGACAACAGAACTATTTTTGTGGGTTCCATGCCAGTAAACAGCTGTCTCTTCCCACATCCTAAACCTCAATTAGTCCTAGGCAATCCAGTTCCTTTTCAAAGTCTGTGAACCCTCAGCTACCAGTGGCCTGCATGGGTACAGCAGGGTAAAGGAGGTACCTGGGGAGTCAGCCTGGCCAGGGCTCAGCAAGGGAGTGACGGGCTGACCCCACAAGTGTGAGGGGCAGCTCTGGCTCTTCTGCAGGTGTCGCCTCTGCAGCAGTTCCTTGTATTCCCGCCAGCCGGAGCAGCGCTGCACCTCAGGATCTGCGTTTACATCCTCCCGGAATTGCTGGGCCACTGCTTGTTGTTCTCGCTCCCGTTGGGAAAGCTTCTCCTTTCGCTGGTTCAGCTTCTGGCACCAGGACTCAGCGTCTGTCTCCCGCCCAGCAACATTGGCCGGGAGCAGCTCTGGGGCTGGCGCAGGCAGGAGGATGCGGGGGCTATCTGAAGCCATGTTGGGGAAGGAGATCTGTTCAAAGTTCCACCGAGGCTTACGAGCCCCCTTGACTCCATTCTCTGCTTTGCCACTCTCCTCGCCACATCCCTGTCCCTCCCTGGCCAGACCAGGGCAGGGCTCCAGGGATCCCAGAAGCTGAAATGGGACACCTGGACCCTTCATGGGCTTTGACTCCTGAGCTTTCTCCATGGAGCACTGGCTGTTCTGGACGCTGGCAGGTGGGCTGGAGGCGGCCAGGCTTATGGGTAGCAGGGAATCCTCCAGGGCCTTGGCCTTCTTATTAACAGACCTGATGGACATGGGAGGAAAAGCAGCAATCTATTCTTGATTGCTGAGGCGCACACATTCCACAGGAGCTGAGAAAGGCTGTCCCCTGAGCCAACGTGAGCACTGCCCAAGTGCAACTCTAGACCCACACACTCCCTGGGGTCCCAGGCACCAGTACTCCCTGGGGGTGGTCACGGGGGCAGCCATTACTGAGAGCTGGCACTCCTCTTCCTCTTGCCAGTCCCATCCTCTAGGTGCTGAGCGTAGCCATCCAAGTTAAGCTGTCTCTCGTAAGGGGATAGGACAGAGCTGTAGGGTGAGAACAGCAGGCAGGCAACAGATCCACCTCCTCAGGTTGGTGTTCCTGGTGGGGGTTTGTGAGGGACTGGCCAAAAGGATAAGTCAGGAACCAGGGTCAGAGCCACATGAAGAGGGTAAGGCTCCAAGCAGATCTGCATGAGGGTACAAGGGGGCAGTCACAGGGGTCCAGTCATGGCCCTTTGCCCAGGCCTCTGGGTGTTAGCAATGGCAACACAGACTCATTAGAATTGGGACTCCTGAAGGGCCAGTAACACATGAATCATCAGACTGAGGGTGTAGCTCAGTGACATAGCACTTTCCTTGGCATGCTCAATGGAGGCCCTGGGCTCAATCCCCAGGACCACAATAAACAAATAATCCCTAGCAAAAAAACCCAAGAGGAACTAAAACACTTGGAAAATACAGAAAAGGAAAGATGAAAAGCATGGTGGTGCACATGCGGAAAAGCCCTACGTTCAATCCCCAGTACTATCAAAGGGAGAAACAAAAAAAGATGAAGATAATAAAAACCTTGGATAACCACTTGTGACATCACTTATTATACATACACACTAAATAATATCTCCCATGTATTTTTTTCTGATGACAATGTCACTGCACCAATATGTTGCTTTGTAATCTTTTTTTCCACTTGATAATGCATTAGACTCAGCCCCTTATCATTATAGCATTCTTTCTGACCATAAACTTATGATGGCTCCCGATGCTGCAGTGTTCAATACACGTGGCTATTATATTAACTGAAATGAAATGAAATGAAGTGAAATGAAATGAAAAATTCACTCCCACAGGTGCACAAGCCACAATATTAGCCTAGGCATAGGACATTTCATCGCTTCACAAAATTCTACGCATAGCATGGTTGTAAGAGACTCTAGTTTTTGTGAGATCTTAGGTTACTTCCAAGTACACTAATTTTGCAAGTTATTTTGAAGGTATTTTACATGTGCACCTCCACTGAAGGCAAGCAGCGTGGGGGCAGTGTTTTGGCTCCATTCCTCAGCAACAAGTACAGGGCCTTGCACTGGTAACAGGTCAATAATATCGCAGAATGAATGAAAATTCTCATGAGAGCACCTCTGCATGTGAGCATGATTGTTTCCCTAAAACAGACTCCATTTTTAGGAAATAAGGGATGCATCTCTTTTAGAGCTTTGGGGACACACTATGTAATTTCAAATGCTGTACCAGCTTCCACCCAAGAGTGAAGGTCTCTGTGGCTCTCAGCAATGCTGGATTGCTAAGTGATGAAAGAAAGAACATCTAACCTAGCATAAGAAATATGAAACCCAGGCATAAATTCCTCACTTGGTCCTTCACTCATACATGAACTTCACAAATCTGCCTTCACACCTACCGAGTTTGAGACACTATTCCAGTGTTCACAATGAGCTGCAGGTATTCAGTCATCTGAAGAGGAGTCTCAAGTTGATAATGCAGTAGGAAGCATAATGGGATTCGTCCCTAATGCCTAAGAGCATTTCCAGGGGAGGCCTGCAGTCAGTGTCCAGGGAGCTGCACTCCAGCCAAAGGCTCCAGCTAAGCAGGGGACACTTTCCACCTGAAACTGGTCAGCCAGGTCCCTGGACTAGAGTGAATGGGAGAGAAAGGAATAGGGACCTACCTTGGTTGAAATCGTCGAACCACATAGCCCAGCCTCTTCAGGTGGCTGAAGACCTCAAATGAAAAAAAGTAAAGCTCAAATGTCCACTCTTTTATTATTTTGTTTCATCTCTAGCTCTCTTTTAAATTTATTTTTTATTTTGAGACAGGGTCTCACTAAATTGCTAAGTTGGCCAAGCCGGGCTCAAATTTGCTCTTCCTGCCTCAGCCTCCCAGAGTGCTAGCACTGCAGACTGTACCACCACACCTGGCTCAAAATAAAGTTCTTTTGAGTGGTTCCATCCCCCCAAATCTGCCCTTCCCTCAGTATTTTCAGCCAGAAAATATAACTATCCATCCACTGGCTCATGCCCAAATCATGAGCATACCCTCCCCCTCTTTGCAGTGCTGGGAACTGAACCCAGGGCCTTGCACATGCAAAGCAACCCTTCTACCACTAAGTTATACCCTCAGTCCCCATGGCCATAATCTCAGATTCTTCTCTCTTCTTAATGTGAAACCCCATCCATTGGCAAAGTTCTCTTTTCTTTCTCCAAAACATTTCTAAGATTCATCCATTTATTTTCACTCACTGACAACCGCCCCAACCCCAAGCTAAGCCTCTATCTTCTCTCACTTGAACGAAATCTCAGATTCTATCACTTCTCCTCCCTCATTTTATCTTCTTCCTAGCACCTACTTCTCTATAAAGCCTACAATTCACTTGCTTGCTTTCTATTATCCAATTGCCACCATGAGAATGGAAGCCTTGTGATAGCAAGGCCCTTATAGCTCCAGCATGTGGCATTGTGCTGGTACCTCATGGGTACTTGTCACTACGCATTGACTCAGCAAATGAGAGGTCAGGGAGAGGTACCTGGTATTGTAGGAAAGTCACAGTGTCCCCGGTGAGCAGCAGCTGGTAGGCCTCCTGGATAGACAGCGGCAGGTCTTGGTGAAAAAGCTGAATAGAGCCCTGGAAGTGGGGTCAACAGCTCAGCTGTGCACTCTTCCTGCAGTGCCTCAGCCACAGGGGGCAATCTCCCGCCACTACCTCCCAGTAAGAATACAGCCAATCGGGAGAGAGGGGCAGCACCCTGATTTGGGCTGGAATTCCTGATCCCTGTAGAGTATTTTTTAAAAATAACTTTCATTAGTATGTTTGTGATATACAACTAATTCATTCAACGTGGGGAGTTGGTCCATATACATATGGCACCTTAATCCTTTTTACTCCCTTTTTCGTTCTTCCCCTCTCCATCCCTAGATCCCCTTTCCATCTATAAATACTCTGCCTCCCTGTTTCTTATCGCCATTTATTTTGCTCTTTAAATTATTTACACTTTGGGTTTCTCACATAGAGAGACCACCTGGATGGTATTCTCGGGTCTTACTCTGGAAGGCCAATTATAAGTTCAGTGGAAACGTAGCGTATGCTTTTTCTCCATGAAACACGTGTCCTTCCAGTTTCTTGGTCCAGACCCCTTCCCCATTCTCCGGGGTTCCACTCACACACTCCAGCAGATACAAGGCCTCTTCTGGGTGAAGGCGCTGATGGCCCTGCTCTGAGAAGCCCATGGTCTGCCAGAACTTACCCTGTATGAGATCCAGAGAAAGTGTCACAAAATAGCCAGGAGCGCATAGCAGGCGGGACCCGACCCTGAGCCCCGCCGCTCACCGCAGGAGACTTCAACTCCACGAAGTCCTCTTCTGGCCTCCACTCTGCAGCCACCAAGCTGCCCCTGGCGAGGAGAGAGGAGAGGTCCTTTCGCTCAGACAGCCCAGTCCGCCTGCCCCGCCCCCTGCCCCGCCCCCTGCCCCGCCCCTCACAGGCGCTCCACGCGCTCTTCCGCCAGCAGCTGCCAGAGCTCTTCGCGACACTGGCGCAGCCGCAGGGCCTGGGCCTCCGAGCCGTCGGGGAGGAAGTCCTTGGGGCCGTGCGACCGCTGGGGCAGCTTCTGGGACCGTGAGCGGGCGGCGAAGAGCTCCGGGGCGCTGGGGGAGTAGGGGGACACGAGGTCGGCACCGCGCATCGATGACACCTTGCCCCGTTCCGAACCCCAGTTTCCCGCCTCCCGCACCGCCCCGCACCTGAGAACGCGCCCCGGGGGAACCTCCACTGCCGCAGGCTCCGGCTCAGGCTCCATCTGGCCGCAGTCTGCGCCTGCGCCCTCCTCGTGTGCTCCGCCCACCGGAACTCCGAGAGGCCCTAGCGCCGGCAGATGACGTCGGCTCTCCTCCACTGGCTTTCCGCCTTCCTGGTTCTCTCGGGTCCTAGCGCCTGCCTTCACACTTGTGCCTCGATACCGGGAACTGAGATTAGCTTGCAGGTTATTGGATGTGCAGGAGCTCCTCTGTCCTGTCCCCAACCCGCTTCGGGGCTCCTATTAGTAAAACCTCGAACTAGCCTCCAGGAGTGTGGCATGAGCTGTCAAATGTGTGACCCTCCTTGCTGCAGCCCTGGACTGCCTAATCCCCCGCCGTCCGAGCAAGGAGGGAAGAGGGGCTTACAGAATGGAGAGCGGCAGTTACCGAATTCTAGCTTTGTAAACTACAGCGGTCCCGAGAGGTTCGGAGCTCCTTCCGGGCCCGCCCTTGGGTCCCATCCCAGGGGTTCCGAAGCCGGGTTTCGAGGGTGGGAGGCGCTGTCCGGCCCACGCTGGTGCTGAAGCACCACCCCAGTCCAATAGCACCTCCTCGAGGCTGGGGTCCCCGCCGCCTTCACCGTGGGCCGCCCGACACTGTCCGCTAGGTGGCACCATTGGTCCGGCCAGTGGTGGTGGGTCGGCCACTCCGGCCGTAGGCAAAGGTCGCTGGGTGAGTCCTGGCAGGGGCGGGGTCAAAGAGGAAAGGGGATTTCCCAAGAAGGGTCCCCGGGATTCTGTTGCCAAACCCTTTCACATCACGTCTTCTCTTTCATCCTTCGATCTAGACCCTAGAGCCCAGTTCGCCCAGGACCGACCATCGGGACGCAGCAGCGCCAACTCCACCCACCGCGCACCCCGCTCCTTTTCACCTGCACGCATGCTCTGAAGGGGCCAGGGCCTCGGTCCGGGCTGGAGCGGTTGGGGGCGGGGCCTGACGTGATGGGGGTGGGGCCGAGGACACTGATTGACAGCCCGACTGCGCGGCCGGGACGGTCCCTCTCTCCCGATCTGGCGGGAGGGAGGGGGGAGGGGCGGGATTTCCTGCGGGAGGCGCAGTGTCGGCCTTGGAAGAGCAGCCGAAGGAGGAGAAAGGTTGGGGGGGTTGGCTAGTAGGAGCCCGCGTCCAAAGTGCCGAGGGACTGAGCAGGGCCAGCCGGACCCCCGGCGGAGCAGCCGGGAGAGGTGAGACTGCGGGGCCGGACCTAGGGGTCAGAACCCTTGGGGGCGGGCGCAAACTAACTTTTCTTGCGGGATCGATTGGTGCCTCCATCTCCGCTTCTTCCGTCCTCCGCGCGCCCCCTTTTCGTCCTCCCGCATCTATCCCTCGGCGCTTGGCCCTCTCGGTCCCTCCCGCCGCTTTGTTCCCAGGTCGGTCTGCCCTGGGCTCAGCTGGGGGGTGCGAGGCGCTGGAGGGGCATTCCGAGGGGCGGGGGAGCCAGCCGACCCCAGCCAGTGCCTGGGGCGCCCTCCCCCAGGGTCGGCCGTGGGCCTTGAGGGGGAGTGCCTTTGGGTTGGGTTTGGTACCTTGGGGAGTGAGGGGTTCCCCGCCAGGGCCCCAGGCCTGCGCAGGTCTCCTGCCACTAGACCGGCGACAAATTCACGGCCACCGAAGAACTGACATAAGCTTTCCAGCAGTAAGCTCGAGGGTCTGGGCTTCAGGTTCAGGCTGCGGGGGGCATTGACCAGCAGTGACTGTTCTCTGCCCACTGAGTGGTGAGGAGGGTCAGCAACAGGTGCTGCAGGGCCTCCCTGCCCAGCAGGCAGATTCCCCCAGAATCAAGGGCCCGTAAACTCCCCACGCTGCCCTCAGTTCACAAAGGGCCGCAGGGCTAAGCATCCAGCTATTAAAGCAAAGGCTAGGTGGGGAGGAGTCTGAGGGCAGGCGCCTTGGAAAGGGAGTGATCCCTGCTCCTCTGCCTGTGCCACCCTGTCAGGCCCCACCTCCTGGCCTGCCAGTTGTCTGTGGGTGTTGGAGCCTGGGGCTGTGGAGAACAGGCTGCTGGCCTGCCCCAGGGTGTTGTGCTGCCAGGGCCCCTCCTGCCCAGGGTTGAGGTGCTGCTCCAAGCCCTGGGGCCCTGGTGACTCAGCCTCTCCCTCCCTGCACATACTCCACTCTGGCATGGCAGCTGCCTCCCCACTTCATGTAGCTGAGCCCCTCTTGACTCTGTGGGGCAACCAGGGTGACTGGGGGCTTCCTGGAGATCCTGTCCTGCTCGCCCTCTGTGCCCTCCTGGGATCCTTGCAGGCCGTGGCTCAACCTTCGGCTTTTTCAGACCCCCAGGACCTGTCCACTGCTGCTGCCCAAGCCCCAAGGGAATGCTGGCTCCTCTCGGGGTGGGCATTGGTGCTCCAGAGCCAAGCCTGGAAGATCGGCGTTCCCAGTCCCGGCCCATCCCGGGGCTGTCGGAAGCTGCAGGCTGATATCCTTCCAGACTTCCACACAGCTGCTGCCTCCTCAGAGACACTTTCCCGCCTGTGGTGGCAGCTCACAGAGCACCTTTGAGGAGTACCCATCAGCGCCTGACAAGGGACCCACTGCCTGGGACACCAGACGTGTCCCCCGCAAGACTCCCCCAGGCCTGGGAGACCTCCAAGGGGCTGAAGCATGGCATGCTGATGGTCTGCTTGGACCAGTGCCTTGCCTCTGCCTTGGACTCCTGAGCCCAGAGCCTGGCCCTGGAGCCAGGATGGGTCGAGAACAGGATCTGATTCTCGCTGTCAAAAATGGAGATGTGATTGGAGTGCAGAAACTGGTGGCCAAGGTCAAGGCCACGAAGACAAGTGAGTACTTGCTGCAGTGACCCTTGCACGGAGGTCCTCTTAGTACTGTGGCTACAGAGGGAGATTTGGAGGGTGGGGAGGGGTCACTGTGATCTGGAGATTCGGGAGGGAAGATGCTCCTGTTCTAGACAAGAAATGCATAGTATAGGAGAGTCAGAAAGGTTGGGACCCACTTGCTGTGTGTCCCTAGGCAGGTTATTTAACCTCTCTGGGCCACAGTTTCCTTGACTGCAAAGTGAGAGGATTGAAGTACATTTATTCAAACTTTTATTGGGCTGAGGATTTAGCTCAGTGGTTTCCACACCTGCTGTGCAAGCGCAAGGACCCGAGTTCGATCCCTGGTTCCAGAAAAAAAAAAACAAACTTTTATTGAGTATTTTTTGTGTGCCAGGGTCTGTTCTAAGTCCTGTGCCAGAATAGGGAACAAAACAGACCAAACTTGCAGCCCTCACGAAGTTGCTTGGTGCAAGTAGCTTTATAGATGTAGTCTTTGGTGCCACAAGGGTTCTGGTGATGGGTTGGGAAAGACTGAATACACAGAGGCTCCATGCCCACGCCCAATCCCATGTACACATTTCAACCTGAGCATCTCTTGTGTTTTTTTCTGAACTTAACAGGGATGTCTGTTTCTTTTACTAAGAGAGATGTCGTGTTTTGGTTTTTTTCTTTTTAATTTCAACACTTTCTGACCACTTACTGAAGCAACTTTTTTCTGACTAAATCTATCGTTGTCCCCTGAGGTGTGTAGCCAAAACTGATTTCCTAGAGGTTTTCACAGCCTGGGGCTTCAGTCCTGACAGGAATGTGGGACTCGAGGCATGCACTGGGCCACTCCTGAGCCCCAGGTCTGCCGGCCCTCTGGTGGGAACACCCCTGGCCCACCCCCAGGGAGAATAGGCCTCTGGCCATCAGGGCAGACTCTCTGGGGGAAAAGAGCAAGTGCCCCTGGATTTGTCACCTTGAGATTCTAAACCAGCAAGGACAGCCACTGGTTCAAACTAGAGCTGGGAGGGGAGTTCCCTGGAGAGGAAAGTCTTCTCTGGGTGCTGGGGCTCTAGCCCCAAGACACACCTGGCCCCTGTTCACAGGAAGGAGTCCCCAGGCTACCTGGAGACATTTATCCCCACCCACGCTTCAGGTGTGGGTGTCACAAGGAAAGGTCAGGATGGTGTGCATCTGCCTGCACACCAGGCCGGGAGGACTGCCTGTCCTGTCCTGTGGTGTGTGGCCCGTAGTCCCTTGCCCCTGGGGAAGTAGATCCTGGGTCAGCCCAGTGGGAGGTCCCTGAGGACCAAGACTGGGACCCACTCCCTCTCCTTCCTTACCTCTGTGTTGTTCTTGGCCACCTTCCTAGTGAGACCTTGGTCACAATGCTGCTGGCCTCCCCGCCCTGCAGACTGATGGCAGGAAGCTCACAGCGAGGCTTTGAGGCTCTGAACAGGTTCTCTGTACGCAGTGGGAAATATCCATGGAGGAAGAGGGCTCCTCCGTTGAAGGGGAGAATTCACCTGCAAAGGAGCAGTGACAGGCCTGGGATTCCTTGTGAGGCTCAGGCACCCTACCTTGGAAAGGCTAGTGGCAAAGTGAGATCACAAGGTGACCTTTGCAAACGTTAGAGTTTATGAAATATTCTAATCTCTTCACTTCTCCATGAGATAGGTATTCCTACATCCATTGTACAGATGAAGTAGACTCGGAGGTTAGTAACTTGCCCAAGGCCACATAGCCATAGTGGGATATATCTGAGACAAACCTGTGCCCCCTCCTCTGTGCTCCCGCACTGATCTCCACTCATACACCCATGCACATCAGAAATACCCAGGAACCCACCACCCTGGGAAGCTGAGGCAGGAGGATTGTAAGTTCCAGCCCAGCCTGGGCAACTTAATGAAACCCTGTCTCAAAATAAAAATAAAGGGAGGTGGGGATGTGTGAAAGTCTTGGGTCCATTCCCCAGTGTGGGTGTGGAGAGAATTGCCTAGGGATTGTTCTAAAAGTCTGGCTTCCCTAGACAGACCTCCACCAAATTAAAATAATCAGAAGGGGCCTAGGACTCTGCAAATTAGAAAGTTCTCCAGGTGATTCTAATGCAGTTCTCTGAAAGGAGGGAGGGATCTCTGCGCCACACTACAGAGAAGCAAAGGAAACTTCCAGGAATGTCAGGGCTCCCATTTTCCCCCTACGAGTGGCTAGAGCTGTCTGGCTCTCCAGAGAGCAGAAGAGAGGTGCTCCTCAGCCCCCTCCAGCCGGCCACCAGCCTGTACCCCCCCCCCCCGCCCCCCGGCCAGCCAGGTCCTCTTCAGGGAGCAGGTGGCCTGGCCTGGCTCTACCCGTCACCCTTTCCCACCTCTTTCTGCTGAGCTCTCCTCTGGCCAGAGGAAATGTAGTGGGCTGGGTGGCTGGCTGAGCTCACATCCTCTGCCCGAACCTAAGTCAGGGACAGGCCAGGCAAGAAGGCTGCCTGCAGCAGACCCTCCACCCACCCTCCGCAGTCCTCAGCCCAGTCATTTTGAGCTTCTCCCCCACCACCTTTCCGGCTATTGTTCTGGAAAGAACAGAGCCACCCAGCCTGGCCCTAGCCCTGTTCCTGTGTCCCTCCTGTCACACTCTCCTGCCCCTCCCCTGGAGGAGCCACATCCCTCCACCTAGCTGCCCCATCCCAGAATGCCCAGGCTGGCTGGCTGGTGGAAGGGTGAGCAGGCTAAAGGACCCTGTGTCTCTACCCAGGGGACCTATGTCTCCACTAATGCTCAGAGAGACACCATGGTTTGTGAAAGTCACACAGCAGGAAGAGGCAGGAGAGCATTTGAGCTGGGTACTTTTTGCTTCCCAAGCCCTGGTTCTTTCCCCTGCATGACAAGTACTTTCCAAAGCAACAAAAGGAAAGCTGGGAGGTCTGCATTTCCTCTCGGTGGCCCCCAACACTTTGCTCCCCTGCCCTCCTTGGCTCTGTATTTACCTTTTTGGAGTAGAGTCCTTCAGCGCAGCCCTGCGTGTAGCTGTCCCCTCCTCCTCCCCATCCCACTGCAAGTTTAGTCCCTCCCTGTTGGAATGAGGCCCTGCCTTGTCCAGGCTGCCG